CCCAGCCCCTAACTGATCCTTTCAATAAAGTGATATGTCAGTAGTACAACTATGTTAGCTATCCTGTATTTGCATGTATACGTAATTTTCCCCTTTTTGGTTTTTCTCCGGTACCGGGAACTGAACTCACGACCTTGAGCTTGCCAGACAGGCGCTTTTGCCGCTGAGCTAAATCCCCAGCCCCGAACTGATGTGCTTTAGATGAATAAATTGAAGCTCTAATTTTTAATTAAGACCTTGTATGAAAATACAGGGAACACAAAGCCAAAACAAAGTTTGCACGGAGGTGTCATTGTAAATGCACCTATAGATATTGTCTTACCATTCTTTTAAGGTAAAAATAAAAGCCCAAGCCCAGTTATATCTGACAGTCTGAATAACACCATTTTGATGAAATACTGGTAAAGCTTGTAGCTTTTTTTACACCACTACAGTATGACTCTTTTAGAAGCACATCTTGGTACAACTCCTGAGAAACCTCTCTTATGGAAGGGATCAGTGGATCCATCTGTAAAATGCTGAATACAGATGTGTACCCTATTTTCATGGCAGGATGTTAATTGTCCAGCAATGACTGCACATAATCAATGAAGAGTCCAGAATCTTAAATCTTTCAGTGTGCTGACTAGGACTCTGGCTGACTTTAAAGGGCCTGTTAAACTTGTCCTCAAACAAAAGACTCTGAAGTGCTGTTTTCCCTTTTATAATATATATTTTAAAAATCATGCCACCTGGTAAAATCTTCTGCTTTGATCCGCTTTCTAAACAAACAAAAAAGCAACTGAGAGGATTATAGGCTATTTCTATCAACCACCCTGAGCCTGAGGGAAGACTAAGAGTCCTGGAATCCATTTTGAAAAACCAACTGGACTAATTCTTCTTTTGTGAATGAGGGCCAGAGGACAGAAGCTAATTCTTCTTTCTCTACCTAGCGTCTTCTGTATTTATTTGCACAGATGCATGTGTAAACAAGTGGGTGTGATTCATGCGTACCCATTCATCTTTTGTTGGCTGGCAAAACGTAATGAAAAGAAAGCAAAGATAATGAAGGGAAAACAAAGCAGGAAATAAATAGTAACTACATCCATAATTTTCTCTAAGATGAACATCACTGGATGTTGTTGATAATTCCATTTTATGTCTAACTAATGGCAACAAAATAGATATCACATTTTTTGAAAAATCTATGTCAAAAGTTTTAAGCTTCAGATTGTAGGAGTTTAGACAAAAACTCAACATACTTTTATTTAGAAATTTGATACTGAATTTCTATTTGAAAGTTGTAGAATTCTTTCTCACTTGAGAAAATGACTAAATCTTCCCTTTGCCTTCTGGGAAGCTGAAAACAAAGAATTGCTGTTTATCCCCTCCCTGAAGGCTCTCACAAGGCAGCCAGTGAGTTCTGTGTTTCAGACCACAGTGGCTGGAGGGACTGTTGATCTGCTTTTGTTGGAATGGAAACGAAAGGCATTTTGATTAATGGACTTAAAGTCTGCATAGTTTATTCTGACTTTAGAGCCAAATCCAAGATTATTTGCAAAAACACTTATTGAAAGAATTAGATTTTTAAAAACTGCTCAGAAACTGTTGAGAGTTATTATTTAGATGTACACACATAAATGTGTATAAACACACACTTCCACAGACCAGGAAAATGGTAAAATAAAGATTTAAGACTTCTCATTTTGTCTTTGTCCCTAAGAATGAGATCTCAGTGTAACTGCAAAGAAAAAATGTGGTTATAGGTTGGGAAATTTAGAATAGGCCCATTGATTTCAAAGATTCTTATATCAAATGTCACAGAACTTCAAATAGCTTTCCTATTTTTATCTATGCAAACCACATTTAGTAAAACACAAATTCAGGAACTATTTGTAATCTGTTTGATTTTCTAACCCATTGAGAGATAACAATAATGAAAACAAATGGGATTGCATAAATCTAAAAAGCCAACAAACTAAAAAGCTGAAAAATTGAAAAGGAACTAATAAAGAGATAAGCTATGGAGTAAAAGAGAATATTTGCAAACCACCCATCTAATAAGGGGGTAATCTCTAAAGTATATTAGAGACTCAAAGAACTTCATAGTCTGATTAAAACCCTGAACAAATAACTTAATTAAAAATGGATAAAGAATCTCAGTAAATGTTTCTCAAAAAAAGACATGCAAATGGCCAACAGATATATAAAAAATGTTCAACACCACTAATCATCAGAGAAATGCTTGTTAGGACCATAGAAATATCACTTCATGACTGTTGGAATGGCTTCTATCAAAAAACAAAAGATGGTGTTGGTGGAATATGGAGAAAAGGTAACCTTTGCACTCTATTGGTGGAAATTTTAGTGAGTATGCCACTATCAAGTTTGGTAAGAGGGTCCTACAACAAATTAGAAATGGAATTACCATATGATCCAATAATCCCAGTAGTGGGTGTGTGTCCAAAGGACATGAAATTAATATGTAGAAAAGACATTTATAGTCTCGTGCTTACTGCAGCATTATTGATAATAACCAAGATATGAAATTGTTGTAAGTGTCCATCAACAAATGAATGGATAAAGAAATGTACATAAACACAATGGGGTACTAGTCAGCCTTAAACAAGAAGGAAATCCTGTTATTGGTGGCAACATGGATAAAACCTGTAAGATATTATGTTAAGGAATGCAGCCCAGGGAGAGAAAGAAAAACGCTTCACGATCTCACTTACACGTGGAATCTAAATAAGTTGAACTTACAGAAGTTGAAAACAGAAAGTTGGTTGCTTAGAACTGCAGGGTGGATGGGGCGGAGTTATTGCTTGAAGGATAAAAATTTTCAACTAGATACGAGGCATAAGTCTGAGAAATCTATAGTACAGCATGATGACTACAGTGAATAATAATGTATTGTGTTCTTGAAAGTCACTGAGATTTTAAGTTTTCTCATCACAGAAACTGATCGTATGGGAAGTGATGTACATGGTAATTAGCTCACCTTGCCCATTGCACAATGCATGCATATTGTAAAGATTATATTGGGAGGAGCTGGGGATTTAGCTTAGCGGCACAGTGCCTGCCTGGCAAGCATGAGGTCATGAGTTCAATTCCCTGTACTGGAAAAAAAAAAAAAAAAAAAAAAAAAAAAAAATCAATATCTAGGAAGTGGGACAGTCTTGGAGAACTTGAAATTATATGCTTAGGAACATTAGTGGCAAGAGCTTCTGTGGCTATTACATTCTATTAGTAATTACTTGTAGAAGTCCTGAGATGACATTGAAAATGACTTTAATGGACTCAGGATATTTCTCCACCTGTGCCTT